TCACAGTGTTATACAGTAATGTTTACTGATGACGCTTCGAGCACAATTTATTGCTCATAATCATATCACCTTGATATGATTGTGAGCAAAAAATTGTGCTCGAAGCGTCATCAGTAAACATTACTGTATAACACTGTGAGACTTTATCAAAAGCGTGAGGATAGCTCCCCTACTCAAAAAAAAGGAAAACTCCAACTCCACTGACACTCATAAACACATACAAACCCAACTTCTTATCCTGCTGAATCTGGAAGTGTCGCCAGAATGCGAAAATAAAATTCGAATATGGGGTCAAAAATTTACTCCAGTCCTCCGGGTGGCAAACACTAAAAAAGTAGCTACCAAGATGTTACCAACGCCACTGAAAATCCTTGTACGGTGAAAACCAAACTCACCCAAAATAATGACAGAAACAATCAACTCAGAAGGAAGGAAGCTGCAATTATATGCAACTACAAAGTAGGGCATGAGAAGCAGAAGAAATTTGTAGAGAGCTGCAGGCAGTGAGGTACAACGGTCCAACTATATGGAGACCCAGAATTTCACTGAGTTATGTGAATATATGCTAAATTCGGAGACACAGGAGCAGGACTCATTATGAGTGGAGGACAGCACGGTGAAGTGAATGATAACAGAGAACCCTTAGCAGACTTCTAAACTTTTAATCATTTGATAGTGGGAGGCGGAAAATACAAGCACAAAGACATCTACAAAGGGCTGTGGGTTTCGCCTAATGAACACACAGTAAAATAGATAGACCTAATCTCAATCTGGAGGAAAATGAGGCGTATTCTGCTGAACACAAGATACAGAAGAGGAGCAGATGTAGATTCACATCACTATTTAGTTCGGCAAACCTTCAAAACCAAGTCGAAAGTTCTCAAGGAAGTTAGAAGCAGATGATAATTCAAGTTTAAAACCGAGAATCTGAAGGAATCAGTCACAATGACACTCTTGATGCAGTCACTAACAAAACTTATGTAAATGAACACTAGAACCCTCTGAAAACGACGAGAAAGGAAATGTGTGTGTGCACATGTTATACAGGATGATGAAGAAAGACAAGTAATTGCTACCTAAGGAAACCTGGAATCTGATAGAAGGGAGAAGGATTGTGAGATAGAAAATGAGCCATTATTGAAGTGAACAACGAAAGGGGAAGCTGAGTACAATTCACAGAGCTATGGACGAAGGCATAAAAGATAATAATAGGAAGGACAAGAATGGCTGTCACGACCCACTGGCATCGGGTGTCGGGTAAAAGAGACCACATACCATTGTATCAAATAACCGGGTTGCCATGCTAGAAGATATCAACTCAAATGAATCCAGTAAAATAAAGAAAGGAATGAAGGAAAGTTGACTACCATAGATGATTTCTGTTTTACGTCTTACTATCTCGAAGATATACTATCCAAAACTAACAAGTTGGCAGGAGAGATATCAAAGATAAGAATGCATGTGAGCATAGGCAAAACAGAAGTGATAAAAATACTCAAATAACAACACTGAGCACCAATCACCAACATCGTGAAGACTGTGAAGAAGGTTGTTTGCTTCACTAACTTGTGCAGCATCATTTGTAGGCTCAACGGTTGAGGATGTCAAAGCAAAACAGCATCAAAAAAGAAAGAGAAGCTTTAATTGCTCTGAAATCAGTGTGGAGATCTACGACACTAAGTACAGGGAAAATGATCCAAATTTTTAAAACTATGGTTGCGAGACTCGGCACGTGCATCACGCTAAGGGTTTCAGACAGGCTACATGCTTTCATCGACCGCTGCATTCAATGGCTTGGTGTTAAGATTAGATGGCCGGCTGCAAAGGATAAGTAACTGGAAACTGTGTCAGTAAACTAACCGAAAATCTATTTTGTCGCTCAACAACCACGCTGAAAGAAAATGGGAAGCAGATAATTAAGTGAAATCATACACCAGGCCCTCTGTGTATTGGATCCCTGATGAAAAGCGACAGGTTGTGTATCTGAGGATGGCATATAGGAGACCGTGTGAAGCTAGATGAAACTGATGGCAGAGGCCCGGGTGCAATGCAAAAGTGTAGCTGAAGCCAAATATCATACACGCAACTCAAGAGCAAGTACGAAAAATAGTAATCCTTGAGATAATCAATAGTTATTGCCAGATATCAATGGAATCAAGGATGTGACTCTCGTCTTATTCGGGGCTTGACATATAGATATTCCTGTATTTTTGGTGACACTCTGACTGAATATCCGTCATCTTGAATCCAAATGCATTTTCCGCTACACTGCTGAGCCACTGGAGTTACCTCTTATCCAGTGGTTATTGGGTGTTATTTTTTACTATGTCAATAGATGCCAAGCTTCTCTTTCGATTACAATCAACTGGCTGGAAATTCAAGATAATTTCAATATCTTGTTTACTTTTAAATGTTGAAAATCAGACACAGTGTAACTCCATAAAGACGATTTCATACTGACACTGGATAAAATCCCCTAATCATCAGACACAAATTAAAGCCTTATGTTTTACGCCAGTTTTCTCCTATGGAGTACTGTCAAGTATTTGGCAAATAATTGCATTTCCTATAGTTTTCTTAGTACGAGCTACTTTTAAATGAATTGAATAACAGTTTTCAAGATAACGGAGAATATTTGTAGCCCGCGTGGGTGTTGTTGGTTTGATTGCGACACGTTTACTGTCCTCCTAGACACCATCATCCACACTAACTTCAAGACCATATTTTCTTTACTAAGGTGACAAAGCGTGTGGTCAGTTTCACGTACTGCAAAGGATTCAAGCCACAGGAAAACGGGCAAATCTCTTCTACGGTGCCCACTTTGTAATAACAGTTATCCCTTTAATTTAATAGGACGGTTTCTGTTGAGGAACATAACTTATGAATTTTGGCCCGTAAGAGTGAAGAACTTGATCCAGTGTGCTTACATTTCACCCAAATTGCTGACAGAAATTTGAGTAGTTTGGACTGATTTGATTCTCTGCAGTAGTTCCATTTGGTTATACCAGTGAGATTAGCCTTAGCTCCAAAACGATGAAACGGTCATCAAATGTGTGCTAAACAGACGTTTCATCCTAGTGGGGGCCTTTCAGTAGCACTGGCTCATAATACCACAGAGAAACGGGCCCAGAATTTTCAGGTTACAAGGCAAGCCCATTGACCATTCAGCCAGTGAGATGGAACCCAATGATCTATAGATTCTAACTTCTGCCGATTCATGATACTTAATGGTACCACCACCGACGAATGTCATCAGCGAGTATTTTTCTTCATACCTCGTCTGGTGAGCCTTAATGGTTGCAACTTCTTGAATAAATAACTGCATGTATATGTATGTATATACAAAAATGTGATTATATGAGAATCCGAGGTCAAAAAAGTACGAGGAATGAACTCATGTCAGTTTTCAACTAACACATCCATTATTCAAGCTGAGGGAGAATTATATGTGTGTAAAACTTGAGCACTGTGGTAGTAAGTAATTCCATATTATTTTGTTTATTAGATATATCACACAGTGATACAGTATTGTTCACTGGATGACGATTCGAACAAAATTTATTGTTCATAATCATATGACTTATAATCACACGAGGTCATTACTTGAGTTTTACAGTTTTTTCTCTGGTATTTGTCGTAGGGGTAGTAGAATTTTCCAGATATCTGGGACAGGTGTTGAATCATTCCTATTACATGTATTTTCAGTTGATTCGATAAACAAAGCTTCTGTTATCAATCTCTCCCTCTACCCTGTGATATTAGATTTCAAAAATGTGACTTTATCCTATCCATTCTATTGTATAGTTGTGTGTGATTGCATGTAGTGAGTGGTAAAGCTCGACTATTCTCTAGATTTCTTATCTTATTCGGGTCAAACAATCTAGATTTCGCTGGGATTTTGCGCTCGGCTACTCTGACTGCCCCCTGACCTATGTATTTAACCTGACAATCATTTCAGGCAGGGTATTAGATAAACTAAATTGTTTTGTTTTAAAGGCTCCTCAGGATTGATCCTTCAACCGACAAAGCTTGTTTCTAATTGAGTTTGTGGGTTTGAATGCCAGTCAACCTTATTCCTGCCTTGTTAAGAATTATGTGTAAGGTTTCCAAGGTTCCTTCCTTGTATGCAATTACCATTGGTGATTTAAATTCCTAATTGTTGGTGTCGTCATTATTATAATTATTATTGTCACTATTATTATTGTTATCATTATTATTATTGTCATTATTATTATTGTCATTATTATTATCACCATCACTACTATCATTATTTATTTTAGTTTTACATTTCCTTTCATATTTTCTGACTAATTTATCTGGGTAATTATTAAGTTTCAAGGCTTCCTTTATGTGTATCACTTCCTGTCTTAGATTTCCCTTTATACTACTCAGGTTTTGTGCTCTATCACTTGAACATTTCACCAATCCTATTTTTACTGACATAGGATGGGATGATCAGAAGTTCAAATATCTGTCTGAATGTGTGGGTTTCCTGGAAACACTAGTGTTTAAGTCCCCATCTTCTTTCCCTTTTACGTTGCAATCTAACATTGGAAGCTCCCCTTCCTGAGTTTCCAATTCATAAGTGAGTTGAATTGTCTCTACCTTCGAGTTGATGTGTTCGAAATCTGGTAAATAATACTGTTTCACTGTGTGATGCACCTGATAAACAAACTAATATGGAGAATTATACGGTCAAGTAACAGATCAACAAAGCTAAAGCTATGAATAAGTGTACGGGAAATGTTAGTATAAAAAGTGAAATAACAAATCATATTCAAAGTCAGTTAGACCGGCTTTTAAACTATCTATGCAGAAAATATAATGTTTCAAGTTTTCTTGGAAGTTTATTTCTGTGGTGGTGTTCTCCGTCTCGAGCAGAGAATGTAACTTCACTAAAACAATTCTACTGATCTAATTAATAGTTCCCAGTAACGCAACCCACAATGTGAAGCAATATTAGATTTAGAAGAAAACAACAAGTATCTTTTAAAAATTGTCAGTCATATTATTAATATAAAGATAACAGCGATGTAGTATAAAGTCGAAAGCCAAATAATTCCCCAGTCTTGTTTTTCAAACAGATACACATCTCTTTCTCGTCATACTCTGAGTTGTATCAATAATTGAAGAGTCGACTGAATATTTCATTTCATCCTCTACACTACTTGAATCATTTATAAGTAGTATATCATGATTAGGTTGTTTTGTCCGACGTATATCACTATCGTGTAGAAAGTGTTTCTTATTTCCTCTGACATATTCATTTTCTTCATTGACTTCTTTCTGTTGTTCTTGATGAGTTCTAGGAAAGCGTTTATATGATAAATACGAGGTTGGCGTTATATTTAAAGCGCTTAAATTCGACTGTAAATTCACGCATTCAGATGGATACTGACAATTTGAAGAAGTATTTACAAAGGATTGATCAGATTTGAATAGATTTTTATTCAGACTTGACGAAGGAAACAACTTCGTTGCTGGTGTCATCATTTTTGATAGGAAAAGTTTAGGAGTTTGTAAAGATGCTTTTGGAGGTAAATTGTCACAGTGAACTTTTAAGTCACTAGAACCAAAAGAAGGATGTGAGGGAACAGAAAAGAATTTTTTAGGTTTATTATCTCTACTAGATGAAGCAAAGTGATCGGGTGAGTATAGATTGTAATTGGATGGAAAAAAGTTAAAAAATGGATAATTTGCATAATTATTACAATCATGATGTGATAAACAGTGTGAATGTATATCACTCCTTCCTTCATACATTTTATGCTGTAACAATGATCGAGTATCCATGTCTACTCCGTCCTCAAAATCTCCCTGGTAGAAATGATTTCTATGTAGCATTTCATGTGCACAATTACAGTCATGTGGATATCTTTGCCCTACTGGTGCAGACATTTCAGAATCTGAGGACGCGTGCGGGTGAGCAGTATGATTCGAATATATGTACGGATTTCTGCAGCATGTATCACTGTTCAAAGAATTCGGTGAATTCGGTAGATCACTTATTAAACTGTCTTTATGAGGGTTCATAGATACTCGTTGGCCAACTTGATCATAGACTAAATAGTGATTGTAATCAGTCAACTGTTGACGAGGATATTCAGAAAAATAATTCATTGAACACCTTTTATTGTCATGATGGTGATAATGATAACGATTTTTATAAATCTCATTAGATTTACTGACATGATTACTCGACATAGTTACTGGTGATAATAGTAAATTCTCATCATGCGTATGCTGACACTTATCATTAACTATAATAGAAGGTGAGTTTAAAACAACCGGCGATGAAGACTGTAACTTTTTTAAACAAAGTAAACAAAAATTAAATATCTTTGCTTTATCATGGTTTGAGCAGTCATGGCATAATTCATTTTCATTACTGATATTATCATTATTGATATTATGCTCATTAGAACTATCAGATTTTGTGTAGTTCTCCATCAGAGTTTTTCGTCTTAATGGTGTTTTCAAGCCTTCAAGTTGTATTGAACGACGTGCATTTGTCATAAACATGATTTGATTATATTTGTCAAAATGATTTATATTATTCTCTCGATAAGGTTGAATGCTATTGTTGTTGGTGTAACCCAGTTGCTGTTGTTGATATTGTTGTTGTTGATGCTGCTGGTGGAGGTGGTGGTGTTGTTCTTGTTCTTGTAGATCTGTCTGTTTATCAGCGCATATCACATCACCACGTAGACGTTGTAATTCTTGTGCGTGTACAGCTGCTACCAGTTGATCACGTTTTTCATCTTCTGTATTCATAGTTAAAAATCTTAACACTAAAAGATTCATAACTGAACTGACAACAGTTAAACCGAATAATATAAATATTAAACTAAAGGCTACATAATCAGGACGTTTAGCTAGTGAATTGTTACGTTGTAAGGCAACGAAATCGCCAAAACCTATAGTTGTCAATGTTACAAAACAATAATAAAATGAGTCTAAATAATTCCAATCTTCATAACGTGAGAAGACAACAGCACCGATGGTTAATACAGTTGAACCGATTGTAAAGCTAACAATCATTAAGTGTGTTTGTGAGATAATCTTTTTAATTTTACATAATAAATTGATTTTTTGCAATATATACGTTATGATTGTATTCATACGTTCACCGATACTTTGAAACATAATAAGGCATAATGGGATACCAGGCAGGGCATAACACATGCAGAATATTTTACCGCCAACTGTCTTCGGTGTACTATGGCCATAACCTGCATAAAACAAAGCAAAACAAAAGAAAATTTATATATATATATTGAATTTGGCATTCAATGATAGCTGTTTTAATTACTGAATTCACTTTTATAATGTAACCAATAGGCTTCTCAGTAAGTACATCAATCTAAAAGCATCCCATGCTGCGAATAGTTACACGACAGATGTGATTAAGGAAACGCTGACCAGTAGAATGGATAAAAGATGGCTGTACACACACGGTATACTTCTATAGGTAAAACATTTAAGCTTAATTCTGACTTCAGAACTGAGTGATGACAGTTGAGTTTCAGTGATTGAAGGGTCTACGGGCTTGCTTTGTAACCAGAAAGTACTGGATTCGAATCCTAGTGAATGTATACTGCCGATGAATAGCAAACTAGGAGGAAACATCTGTTCAGTACTCCCAACTGGTTTTCAATGATTCTCTAACTGAAATCAATGCGTGGTCAGAAGATAAACAAATCAGATCCCTACAAATTGACTCTTGATCTGATGTTTGCTAATGGTTGGTAGTAGGATGAGTTTCACTGGAGTTCTAGTGAGAAGTCTTGAACATTGGGGCGTATCCGATTGTGAGTTGGGACAAATACTCACCGATGATGCTGCCCGATTAAACTGTCTAAAAGCACTGAAAATCAATACTCTGCATGACTGCAGAAAGATAGCAGTGGCTCTACAAGATGTGCGATAATTTAACACTTCGTCAACAGTGGTCATTCCATCTCAACAAACGCCTTCTTCAGAGCTGTTTGCAGAGTTAAGAGCAAGCTGTCAAGGATAGTACGTTTTCGTTTCTTATGCACTATTTATGTTCTAGGCATTCATGAAGAGAAGCTGGAACTCTACATATAAAAGAAAATTTTTCAACCACTCTTATTATAGTGGTAACAACTTTGTTGATTTCTACCGAATTGATTTTTGTTTAATTTATTTTTCAAACCACTTATAACTCTTTCATTTCTTTAGAACTCCTACATAATTCCATATTCTCTTTCGTTTCTATATGCATCCTGATTACAACTAATGCATTAAATTATTCACCTTATTACGCCGCTCTGATACACTTAATAAACTTTTTTTATGGATTGAATAATATTAACACCCTAATTTGTGGCAACTCATCACTTTTGTTAGTACTTTCTTTTATGATGAAAAATTTGTATATAAATGCGATTGTACAGCTAAAGAGAATGAATTTGCCAAAAACAGCATCTTTGCTTAACTATGTGTTTCGTTTTCATCAACCAACAATTCACCATATCCCTACTGGTACGCCAACGGACTAAGAATTTGGGAGACAGACAGTTAGAATATTGCCGCTACTCAAGTTTTCATTGCAGCTGTCGTCGTTGGCACAGTGGTTATCACTCTCGCCGTTCATGCACATGGTCCGGGGTTCGATCCCCTCCCGACGCACACCTGATATCTATGGTCGGCCTGCAAAACTTGGGCTACCGATATCACATGCTGAAAATTCCATACCTGTACCAAAAATACGGTATGGAATCAAGCTGTAATAAAAAATAAATAAAATAAATAAGGCAAAATTTCTAATTTTCACAAAACACATTTGAAAAAAGTGGTTATCTCCAAAGCCTTAAAATGCTCTTCTTTCAGTTCATTTTGTTCTGAATGAAACAATAGGCTTTAGACTTTTGAAGTTTCAGTAGCGATGACGTTGCTTTTAAAGGGTAGGGTTACTAACCTCACTTTCAAACCTTCCTTCCTCCTTTCTATGTCCTGTTCAGGCAATAAACCCGGAAATGTTTGAGATTGAGTAGGTCGATGATGAAGTCCGAACACGCCGAGTGGCTGGTGAGTATTCTGCCACTCAACCACCGAAGTGCAAACCTTGGAACGTAGTTGATATAACTTGCAGTCAATAACGTGAGGTTTCCAACTCTAAATTACTTAGACATATTTATTAATTTATTTAAAAAGAAAGCAACTTCTCACAACTAGAGAGGATTTCAATTAGAGAAAATTATTAACTTAGTAAATGGAGAACTGAGCGAAGTTGGGAAAGACAAGTTGGTTATTAGATTTTTGTCAATCTACACTCACTGATAAAGTGCTCTATTTTTTCAGTTCCAACTGTATGTATGCATGTAATATGAAGTAGTTTCAAGGCATAAAAATAACCCTTATAATATTTTTCATTATTCCTCTAATTAATATTGCTTTCTATGAGAACTATTCTGATATGAGTTAATATCCTATAAATTTCTTAAATGAATAAAAAGGAAACACAATAAAGGTGAAAGAGTCGGTTATCAGATACTAGACAGTGTTGTCGTCTAATTCTTCAAGACTTCAGCTGAAATCAAGTTTTTTACAATGCTTTCAAATGTAGGCTTACAGGGATTAGACTGGTTTCAAGTTATATCCAAAAGCTGACATCACTTACAGAACTACTAAAAACCAGAGAGAGTTTAATAAATGTTTCGTCCTAATTTTAGACTCTTCAACAGTACATACTTGTTTTACCCCACAAAGGGTCAAATCCAGGCACCATGAGATTACTAGGCGAACCTGTTGAAAATTCACATACTATGATAGAATCTAATGGTCCATAAGTTCTAACTTCTACCAATCTGCGATATATAGCACAATCGCCAGCCAATGATTTTCCTAAGTATTTATTCCCACGGAAAATTTGGTGGACTTCATTGGTCAAGAGTTCTCATCACAACTTCAGGCAAATTTATCACATAGTCACTATATATATATATATATATATATATATATATATATATATATATATAAATTAAGTCTGATAGAGGAAATTGCTTTCAGCAGAGTGAATGTAAGTAACGAACATCTGACAATTTATACAACATTTTAAGACTGATACCTCTTCTCAAGCAAAATTTTAGAAGTGGCCTTGTTGCACATCCCCACTAGCCACGACGTCGTAGACTGTTGCTATTGTGTTTAAATGACAAGTCATGTTTTTTTGTGTTTTTAAAATGATTTTTGGCATTAAAAACATTTTCTCTGACGTACTTATTATACATGCCACTACACTCTCTGTCTTCGTCACATTTGCTGCACTTTTATAATAAAATTTCGCTTCATGCTGATATCTGGACAATGTAATAGAATAAAGGAGGTAGTAAGTTTAAAAGTTAGTCGTACATTATTGAATTTAAGTGAAATGATACTTGTATATCTTGGCCTATTTTTTAAAATGCCCTAATATCTACCGGATAAGATAGGTGGTACTACTTCAATAAAGGCATATGCTATATTATCGTCTAAGTTGTAGAAAGTTTCGTGTTGAGCTTTGGTTTCAGTCCATCAGTGTTTATTGTGTCCGTGGAGGAACCTGACTGATCATCAGTATTTTCTAACGTATTGGTTTAACTGTTGAAACTTTGTTTCAAACTATGCTGACGCCATTTCATTAGTATGTTCCAGCAGAAGTGAGTCTCCGGTTATTTCTCCTTTCCTGAATACAGTAAGTAAAGAGTAAGTTGCTGTAATCAGTCGCGTGTCGATTCATATCAAATGGCCAAGATGACCTTGGTGCGATCGACTGAAACCATTTGTTCTAAAATTACCCAAGGTTACTTTAACCTGATTGGTTAGACATTTTACAACTTTGCGCTATTGGATTGACTGATTTCAACCAAAATGGTAGTTTATACTGACTGACTGACAAATTTACCTTGGTGGATAGCAATGGTATCTGCCATTACTAACTGTCAGCTTTCTGTTGTTCAAATGTTGATTTGCAATGATTAATGAACCTAACGTCAAATTTAGGCACATGTTTGCAAGTTGCCATTTTTAAAAGACACCAGCCAAAAACCTTTATTTTAAACAGCTGAAGGTATTTTCTTCTCTGCGTGAATCTTTTTCTAGATTTTGACTAGAGTTCTCTAATTACTCTCAACTTCGCGCTTTCATTTACTTGAAATCTTCTCAGTTGTAATTCTTCTTTTGAGTGTCAATGTTTATAAGGATACAAGATTTCGTACTACATCAGTTGACTGTCACTTGCTGTTATTACTCTATACACGTGAGACGACCCTATATAAGTGTCCTATTCTTGACAGAACAAAATTCTCTTGTCTAAATAAGCAGATATCTATCCTAATTTATTGACTTATTTTCTTTTTGTGGGTCGATTACTCTATTGATTTATGTCTGCGTTCTTTCTTTTATACTCTGATTATGCATAGTTCACTTGTCAGGCGTTTTATTTTTTGTTTTCATAGATTAAGTCAGTCCACACTCTCTTTATTTCTAGGCATTTGTGACTCCGTTTATTCATCATTCTTCTTTGCCTTAGCTGACCGCTTGTTTAAAGTCTTAAGTTTTCAACTAAATCTAATGGAATTAGGCTAATCAGTGAAATATATGAAACTGATTTGATTCAGGATACTGTGCAAACTGGAAGATAGTGTGTGTCTGCGTTTGTGTTTGTCAGCCTGTGCGTGTGTTGTAAGATAACTCTTTGCCAGCATTTAGGAGATATTCTCCATAATAAATTTTGATGAAAAACCAAGTGAATGCAATAATGAAATGGAGTAAATTTCACCCAAGCCTAATGACAAATTAACGGTAGTGGTGGTATGCGATAGTGATACGGTGGTCGATTTCCAGTCTGGAGATAGACCAATCAGAATTTCGCTGACGTGATTTAACGACCAATATCTTATTGATCATGATCATAGACTAGTTGTGGGAACTACTCGAGTACTATGGCGTACCCTGAATATTCATCAACCTTATTCAACAGCTGTACGACAACGGCACATGTCAAGTCATCCAAAACGGAAAACTCAACGAGGCGTTTGGAGTAAACACACGAGTCAGACAAGGGTGCTGGCGTATTATCACCAATGATATTCATAAATGTGGTGGACTGGATTATGCGTCAGATAGTGGGAAACGAGAAGACAGGGATATCCTGGACCGACGCGAAGAACCTAGAAAGCCTGGATTTTGCGCGTGGATGATTTATGTTTGACGTCACACAAAATCG